TGGGTGGTGGGGAAGGGGGGATTTAATTTTGCATGGGCAGCCCCCCCCCACCCCCCGGCAGAATGCGATTTGGCGCCCTGGTCTTTCCGAAAGCCGCTATGGTGTGATAGACAGTGGATAGGATGGGGCGTTACAAACACTTACTAAATTGAATCAGGCGTGTCCTCTGGCGCCCTGTCTGTTTCGGCCCCCAAAGGCTCAAATGGGCCGCTGAGGGCCGTGTAATACGTAATGCAATTAGCATCTATTTTTAGATAATTCAATCAGAAACTGAGATCGAGCATCTAAGAATAGACCATTAGTAACAGTCACACTGATGTTTAAAACACGTCAAATAATTTTTTACGTGTTAAATAACAAATCCTGTTCATTTATATCACTTAAGCGAATGACGCAATCTGCATCATTGTTAACAGGAAGCTATTAGGCACGAGGGCGCCTGTTAGTTTTAAGGAGCCAGGGGTGGTACGCCGCGCCTATGCGGTAGTGTAATCGGGGGGGGGGGGCTCCTGAGAGCGCCCTTCTACTTCTCTGACACATGGGCAGTCACCGAAGTGTGTTATACCTCATTATTTCGGTGAGTGATTAATGTATACTCAAGGTTTTCATGTGGTAGTGTAGATAAAGCCGTGTCCCGATATTTATAATCCAAGCGCAGGCATAGTTTACATTTAAATATCTCACTTTTAGAAAACAAGGTCACGAGTCTAATAATATAGGATTTGTAACGCATTGATGAAACCCTTCTTATATATTCCGTCGGACTTTCTTCTATTCCCGCAGCTACGTGCGGGGACGGGTACGCTAGTATCTATATATATAATTCTCTTCTGGGATCAGTTAGAAAACAAGCTGCAAGCGCGCCTTTGCAGTCCCCTCTCTTCCTCTCTATCACTATCACTACCCACCCCCACCCCACCCCCACATAATCTGGGGAGCGGTGTTCACTCTGTTTACATTTTACAATCATAGAGACGGGTTTGGTGACGGCTATTAGGGGCAGATAATTTAGTTTAAAACGATTTTAAACTTGGAGGAGGTAACTAAGAGGAGGCTGCTTTCACGTGTGGGGGGGGGGGTAGTGTTTTTAAGCAAATATTTTCAATGGAAGCATTGGTACTGTCGAATTCACAAATTATAAATTACTGAAAAGTAGGAAAAAAACAACTAAATAGCGGCGTATGATACGCAGCGGGTCGGCTCGTATTTTTATAAAGTGTCATATATTTTTTAGAAGCAGCTGTTTACTTGAAATAAATTAACTCAAACACTTGCATATTGTTTATTTACATTTCAGACACAAACCGTGAACGACTAAAAGGATTCGTAGTGAACAGTTACAACTACGCTGCGTCAAAACTGTTTGAGTACAGGGATACAAGTTCTAACGACAATGTACCAATTTACACAATTACATCAAGCTCACATGGTTCGGTGTCTTATGTGAATATATCTATAGGAGGCATTCTAACTCTATGTGAGGTTGAGATATACGGTGGTGAGTATAAACTGAAACTGTATAGAGAAACATTGTGTAAATAGAGCTTCATCATTCAGGCATCATGTTTTTTATGAGTTTATAGGTAAAACGTAACGTTTATTTCTCCAGACAACGTGTGTCACGTAAAAAATTACGGCCTAGATTGTGTCAACACCTGCAACTGTAACGACCCAACTGAGACATGTTTTGTAGCTACAGGCGGATGTCGGTCTGGTTGTGCTGCTGGATATCAAGGGGATGGGTGTTGGAAGCGTATGTGTACTGTTCAAAAATTATAATGAAGCATTGATAAGCTATGCGCCGTTGATAAAAAGTATACTGTACATCGTCGCAGTCATTCGCGGCGACGGCTTTGGTACTTTAACCACATGTGCTTTGCCTAAAGGTGTCCGGTCAAAAACCCCCTGGACATAAACCCCCTGGACATAAACCCCCCGACATAAACCCCCTGGACAAAAACCCCCCGCGACATAAACCCCCTGGACGAAAACCCCCCGCGACATAAACCCCCTGGACAACCCCCCCCCCGCGATATAAACCCCCCCAGATAATAACCCCCGGACTGAGGTTTATATAAAGAAAAAATAACGATGATGTGAACCAAGAATTTTTTTTTATGACTAAGAAAACAGTTTCTACCTAAAAAAATGCTTTTCGAAATAAAGGAGTGACCTTAGTTGTATTTGATCAAAGATCGGGCACCGACAACACCTTAGATATAGGTCATCCATATGTGGGAGCCGCGTGGATCAAAGCAACACATTCTTAACAATTCAAAAGATGTGAGGGATTCACCGGCGGAAGCTTGGTTCATATCCACCTTGGCATACAGAACCATGGTATAAATATTAAATCAAATTTATTTCTCGACAAATCGTATATTTTCTGAAATGGAGTTCGTTCAATCCAATAAAGGAAATTTAAAGGTGATTTTTGAAGGCTATGTTTATGTCAAGCAAAATGATCTGGCGAACGGCGTTGTGTCATTTGAGTGTTCCAAAAGACGCAACAAGGCAGAATGAAAAGCAAAAATAAAGATTCATGGTGAACAGCTTGTTGGACGATGTAATGAACATTCGAATGGACTAGATACATCTCAACTGGAAGTGTGTAAAGTAGTGCAGCAGATGAAACAACTGGCAGAAGAAACGGAAGCAACACCCCAGCAGATCATCACTCAGTCCATTTCTACGATTACTGAAGATGCCAAGGCCAAGCTGCCCTCGATTCCACAGTTACAATCTCGTGAAAATAACATTTATGATTGAAACTACAATATATCAGAGAGCTTTTCTTTTTAAAACTATGTACCTTTTATTCATATTTTAAAGACATGTTATTTTTTTTAAATCGTAAAGTTTCTTGTAAATATAATAATGATATAATATAGTCTAGTATTTCAGGACAGTGGTACATACTTGTTTCTTTCTGATGACTTATAGAAGTGTAGATGCGAGTTTTTGTGCTTAGTTTTTTGGATTTAAATATGGATTCCAAACGTTCATATAGAAATTGTACAAAGCGTTTCAAAAAGACCAATAGTGTCACTCTTTTAAATGTGTGCATGTTTCTTGTCTCTATGTCTCTCGTGAATTTATCACTATTATCATTTTGGTGTCGACAGATTTGAGACGACAGCTTTGATATAATTTTGGTTAGGTGTCTACTTGATACAGCGATGTATACAGATCATTGAGATACAAAATAAATCTAAATATATATAAATATATATAAATATATATATATATATATATATATATATATATATATATATATATATATATATATATATATATATATATATATATCGTAAAACAGTTTCTAGTATTGTATGAAGAGTAAGAAAAAAACTTAGAAATACGGGATAAAATGTAGTGTTAGCTATTTATTGTAAGACACAACCAGTGGAACTGTTTAGCTTTGGTCCTGGTCCATTCGGTCCAGTAGAAGACTCAGCACACAGGTCAGTCTCCTAATGTATGAGCTAGACGGTGACCAGAAAGATGCGCAGCGGAAAAAAGCGCAAACAGAAAAGAGCGCAAACAGAAAAAGCGCAAACAGAAAAAAGCGCAAAAAGAAATAAAAGCGCACACAGAAATTTGCGCACATATTCGATGTGAGGCGTCAGAAAAATAAATGTAATAACATTATAATGAGCACCATCTTCATTCTTGAGATGTACATCTTTAAACAAAAAGTGTATCCTGGTGTGAATTGCAGCATTTAGTTATGTGATGTGCAACATTAGGGATGTGATGTGTAACATTAAGGATGGGATATGGAGCATTTAGGGATGTGATGTGCAACGTTAGGGATGTGATATGGGGCGTTTAGGGATGTGATGTGCAACATTAGGGTTGTGATACGGGGCATTTAGGGATGTGATGTGTAACATTTAGGGATGTGATGTGCAACATTTAGGGATGTTATGTGCAACATTAGGGATGTGATATGGGGCGTTTAGGGATGTGATGTGTAACATTTAGGGATGTGATGTGCAACATTAGCGATGTGATATGGGGCATTTAAGGATGTGATGTGGAACATCTAGGGATGTGATGTGCAATATTATGAGATGTGTTGTGCTACAACATTTAGGGATGTGATGTGTAACCTTTAGGGATGTGATGTGCAACATTAGGGATGTGATATGGGGCATTTAAGGATGTGATGTGGAACATTTAGGGATGTGATGTGTACAATTTAGGGATGTGATGTGCAATATTATGAAATGTGTTGTGCTACAACATTTAGGGATGTGATGTGTAACATTTTAGGGATGTGATGTGTAATATTTAGGAATGTGAGGTGTAATATTTAGGAATGTGATGTGGACCATTTAGGGATGTGATGTCACAATATTTAGGGATGTGATGTGCAACCTTTGGGATGTGTTGTGCTACAACATTTAGGAATGTGATGTGTACTCGTTAATAGTGTAAGTGCACTACTAAATAATGTAAAATGTACACCGTAATGATCTGTGTGCATTACTTATCGATGAGATGTGAACCAATTAACTATGTGCAATATTTAATCTACTTATGTTATTATATTTAAATGATGTTATTACAGCAATTCGGATAACGCTTGGTATTAACTTCTCTGATAATGTTCACGTAGAGCCCACGCTAGTATCACATGCACTAATGTTAAGTATTATTTAGTCTAAAAAACATGCGTATGTATATCGATCGTGTAGCAGCTTGATGTAAATTACCTAATTATCTATATCTGATGACTCTCTGTAAGTATTACCTGAACTATATGTAAGTTTTACCTTAATCATCTATAATCTTCACCTACACTCTGTGAAGCTGATGATTACCTACACGCCCAGTTAATACTTATAACAACACGCACGTGATGAAGTAATGTCAATTTAAACCATACACTTAGCGGAGATTAAGTACTCAATCCAATTTATTTTAAGCTGATTGTTATACCAATGGTTGGATATTGCTAGATAACGCTGACTCATAGCCTAGATAAATGCGAGTTAGCAAACCTAACTTTAAAAAGGGGTTAATACTATTATATGCTATTATATATCTCAACTAGAATAGATAACATCTTAGTTGGTTTAGATAGATCTTTAAATTATTTTTAAGGGATATAATCAACTAATGCAAAATTTGATGTTTATATTGTCTTTTTACGGGAAACATTAGGTTAAGGAACAAATTGATGTTAACATTTTTTGAATACTGTTAAATTACTTTTAGTAACTACAACTGTTCATCCTCATTTGTAGGAGATAAAATTGGAAATTATTTTATGTTAGTTTTCATCATCTGATTGAAATGAAGGTCGCAGCTCTCCTTGTTCTGGTGTGTCTTGCTAACTTCTACAGATTATCAGAGTGGTGAGTACACTTGAACTGTTTCAACACACAAGTCTAAAATGAAAAGTCAAATTCACATTTAACGTAAAAACATAATAGATGCGATACATTTGATTGTTTTAAGTTTAATTTAACATTAACGGTGCTTAATAATCCATACAACTGTTAAATTCAAAGAAACTTGCAAATATATATATATATATATATATATATATATATATATATATATATATATATATATATATATATATATATATATATATATATATATATATATATACATATATATATATATATATATATATATATACATACATATATATATATATGTATTTATGTATTTGTATATGTGTATATGTATATATATGCTTATATATACATATATATATATATATATATATATATATATATATATATATATATATATATATATATATATATATATATATATAAAAGCAAAATGCTTTACTTTTATTGTAAAAATCATCGCTCGTCTATTTTAATCATATAATTTTAATATTACCTGACGTGATAACCTATGCAATTTATCCAACAGTTGCTGCCAACAGCAAGGTCAACCATGCATGGTCCGATTTGACTGTTGTGGCGATAACAATTGCGAATTGTAATTATTTTGTTTTTAAAGGGTTTCAGGAAATATTATATATGTAACTATGTTATGGTGTCCCAAATACCTTTCGAGGTTTGAAATAAGGTAAACCCGTGTCAATAGAAAAAAAAAACTATTACTTAGTGTATGTAAATTATTGCGTTTAATATGAAAACAATATTGCTTCCAAACTTTTTTCTCCGGTGTGTGGATGGGGGGGGGGGGGCTTGATATTTTGGGGGAGGGGGGCGGACAACATTAAAAAAATATATTTTCTGTATAAAATTCCTTTCATAATGTGGGGGCAAAAGACTTATTTCGGGGAGTGGAGTGTGAAGGGGGTGGGGGGCGGAGCAAAGTCTGTATGTAAACGAAGTTAAAAACTCGAAATAAAATGTTTTGATATGGTCATTCTAGGACTCTCGAAGAGTTGTATCGCACAGTGTTGTAAAGTAAATAGAACCCTCATTTTAATATTATTATAGTGTCTCTGTTAAAATATATAAGAGAATTGAAATAGGTCAATAGTTTGGATGCCATGACTTATTTCGACTTCAGTCTCCCTTTCGTGTCAATCACTACACACATCTGACACATCGACATGTGTTCGCCATTGCTGTCTTGCATTTCATTATTGTAACATGTAATACGAATCCATTAGCTCTAGTGTATAGTCAAGTAGGTTTACCTATATTCAGATATATAATAGATTTATTGTTCAGTAATATTCATATAAGTGCAGCCATACGTTTATTAATGTAAACGCTGTCTCTATATGTATTCGTTTAGCTGTAGTCATAATATGTGCAGTTACGTATGCAGTTGTCTTTGAGTGATGAAATCAGATAAACTATAATGTTAGTGCAACTATTTATGTATGCAGTAGTCTTTTAGTGATGTAATCAGATACACTGTAATGGTAGTGCATCTATTTATGTATGTAGTAGTCTTTTTAGTGAGTTAATCAGATACAGACTATCTCAAATTATATCCTAAAATGTATTTATACAGATATTTTTCTTCCTAGCATGGGCCGTTTTGAAGGTTACTGTGATCACATGTACACCATAGTTCGAGGGTATGAGCGTATTTTTTCATCGTTTAAGTTTTTGTTTTTTGCGAAATTCTTTGTCTAAATTTTACATGTTTAATAAGTCTATGTTTTCGCTGATCGTTACTATAACTTTTGTTTAAGAGACACTTTTAAAAATCTCACAATAGTTCATGTGAAGCTCAAAAGAGAAATTAAGTAGAAAAACATGTTGTTTTTTTTAAATGTCACTTCTTAATTCAATCGGCTGAGATTTTTATGTTGATTAATATTTTCCTTTAGGATCATTCTATTTATATATTTTATTTTATTTTTAAAAATTAATTTCTTTTCAGATGAAAGACGACTGCCAAGATGTTCTAAATATATGATACTAACAACAGTTGCGTCATGTCGTTTTTATGTTATTTTATTTGATGTAATCTTTTTCTAACTGGAGAAGTATATAAAAATATTAGGTACTATACTAACACAACAGAAATATTTAACGTTAAACATTGGCATTACACATTAGCTTGATGGACAAACTGCATAGCAATATGCTAAAAGGCTTTTCAATTGATTTGAAATGTGTGTTTGATTTATTTGTTGTTTCTCAAACGTAAATAATAGGTGTGATTAAAAAAAAAACAGCATTTCTGTTTTACAAAATAAGTTGCTTAATGAAACTTACTTAAGTGCTTATGTCGTTGCTGAGACCACCTAGCTCTAATTAGTACCTGACAACATTTGGCGGGTGGGCAGTGTGTTGATCACAGTATCCCTTCATAGTCCATGGTTGTGAAAAAAAGCTGAACTCTACTCCATCTGCTCTACGCCAAGCGCTTGAGTTGAACCCCCAGGAAAAAGGGAAGAGAGGGCGCACAAGACAGACCTGGAGTTGGAGTCTTATCAAAGAACTGAAGCCAACAGGGATGTCTTGGGAGAAGGCAACATTAATAGCCGGGGAGCGGAATAAATGGAAGGAAATGGTGGAGGCCCTATGTTCCATAAGGAGCAAAGAGGACAAAGTCAAAATTAAGTCAAAACCCCATCTGCCCCGTGCATTGTATGTTTATAATGGTAAATATAATTTTAGAAATAGGTAAACATTCATCGTGTATAAGGTCAGGTTGGGGTTATTGTGTTTAATGACACAATGCAGGCGAACTTGAGCCACTTTGTTCCCGTGTTTGATCACAAGATGTCTGCAGCACTTTTCTCATTGGCAATTCTACCTAATAATGTTTAAAAAAACGTTTTGCAGTTAAAACAAATTAATAGTGAGCTTAACAATACAACAAACAACGTAAACACACAAAATACATTGACGGTTTAGAAAACAATACAAGTAAACCAACAAGTAAACAAACGCAAACGAAACATCGGAACAAAATAACATCATCAAAACATAAAGTGTATTTCTTATATGAATCAAAATTGTTAAAAGACCCACTAGGATCGGTACGGAAAATCGTTAGCTCTAATATGGTAATCAAAATGTAATACCAATAGTTTACATTATGTGTTAATATGCAACTAATTGTACGTTTCTTTAAGTAATCTTTAAAAACTATTGCAAAAATGTATATGCACAGTTGATTAAAACGTTTGAATATTTCTTCAGTTGAAACAGTAAAATCTAGGAAAAAAGCATACATTTAGTATCTACATAGATGTTTACTAATACTTTTTGCCATGTTACTTGTTGTTTAATTTTATTTATAGCGAGTATAAGGAACATTAGGTGATAAAAATAGTTATTGAAAGATTAAACGTGATGCACGCGGTTACCTGTGTGTGTGTGTGTGTGTGCGTGGGTGTCTGAGTTTGTGTCCGCGTGTATGTGTATATGTGTGTGCGTGTGTCTGTGTTTCCGTGTGTGTCTCTGTTTGTGTCTGTCTGCATGTGCCAGTGTGTATACAACATCACTACCTCAAGTCCTAGGTTCTAACAAGCTAACTACTCACCTTGAGAGAAATGCTTTTTAATGAAGACTGGGGGTCCATTACTAAAAGTTTGAAAGTCATTAATCATTTTTGAATATTCAAAAGTATCATTTGAATATGAGATTAAAATAAACGAGAAATTATTTGATCGTTCCTTCTTGAAACAAAGTCTATTTTGATTTTAATTATTCAATAAAACCCACATAACCGTATTAAAGGAAAACAAAATATTTTCAATACCATTTGAAAACGAACTGTGACTTTGTGTATAATCCCAATGAAAAATTAACAAACGAAAATAGTGCACTTCATATACTGAACATGTAGAGGGATCCGAACCTACCAATCCACGCCTCGCCTTCCATGCGTCAAGTCTGACATGTAAACACTGCAGCTAAGCAGCTCTACAAAAAAAAACATTCTTGGCTGAGCACTATCACAGCTTGTACATGGGATATTTCTGTGCCTGTGTCTACCCACTTGGTTGTTGAAATATCACGTTCGGTTTATATTGCTACCAGAGAAGTTAAAAGATTTAGTTGATGTAAACTATCAAGTCATTATTACATGAAGAAAAAGCAAGTCACAGACACAAGGGAGAGTATTCTGTGCATGCATGCAACTCAATGATATTAAATGGTTATGGTTTTTGAAAGTAGGTTATCTATATATATAAAAAGCAATGTATGTGTGTGTGTCTGTGTGTCTGTGTGTCTGTGTGTGTGTCATTTATGCATTACCACACCTCTTATCACATCGCCGTTGAACTTTGGGAAGTTGTTAAGAATATTCCTGGGGAGGTTTCTGCGGAAAAAAATAATTCAAATTCGCAGGGTGGCGCCCCAGCAGGGCGCGATTTGTTTTTTCTCTATATACGGTATATAAAAAATAAGAGTCGATTGCAGATTCACACTGTTCATCCAATCGCCGTCAAACTTTGGGGAGTTGATTAGAGCAATTCAGGGAAGGGTTCTGTGAAAAATCATTTTTAATTTCACAAGGGCGGCGCCACGGGAGTGTGCGATTTTCCTCTATATACGGTATATAAAAATAATAAAAGTGAATTGCAGTGACACCGTTCACACGATCGCAATGAAACTTTGGGAAGATGTTGAGAATATTCCTGGAGAGGTTTCTGCGCTAAAAACATTTTTAAATTCGCAGGGGTGGCGCCCCGGCAGGGCGCGACTTGTTTTTTCTCTATATACGGTTTATAAAAATAAAAGTTTTTTTCGGTTTCACAACGTTCTTCCGTGTACCATGAAACTTAGGGGGAGACAGGGGCGTAGCGAGGACGGGGGCGGGGGGCGGATCGCACCGGGTGACACTATTTAGGGGGGGTGACACCAAGGCAAAAAATAGCAAAATATATAGAGAAAAACTAAAGGGGGGGGGTGCAAATCGAAAGTTTGAGGGGGGGGGGGTTGCAAATCGAAAATTTGAAAGTTTGTCCCCGGGAAGGGTCGCTACGCCTCTGGGGGGGGGGGGGGTGACACCATTAAGTGCCGCACCGGGTGACACCCGACCTCACTACGCCACTTGGGGAGATGATTAGATCACTCAATGGTTCTGCCCTACCATTGAGTGATCTCGGGAGAGCTATTTTTTTCTCTATACACGGTATATAAAACATAAAACTCGGATGCGGTTCATTCGAGTGCCATGAAACTTTAAGGAGTAGACGAATATAATCCCGAGAATATTTCTGCGAAAAAGAAAACTAAAGTTTCTTATGGGCGGCGCCATGTAGGGTACAATTTTCGTCAATACAAGGTTTGGCGCCCAAAGTTTTAGAGCGACTATGTTGGCACTTGGCATCCGTTAATCGAGCGTCCTGCATAGCGAGTAAGGGGTACTACTAGATCTATATTCAGCGGTAAAACTACAACAGGCTTCTAAAAATAATTTTGTAACGCGAGGAAATCCTGTAACGTTTCGTCACCTTGCGAAAGATGAAAAAATAACTTTTTGAATATGACGAGCCTACTGTAGAATTTTGTCACTTTGTGAATGATGCAATAAGCATCTATTATTAGACGATCCTGTCAGAAATTGAGATCGAGCATCTAATAGACCATTAGTAACGCTAGCATATTGCTGCAGTCACACTGATGTTTAAAACACGTCAAATAATTTTTTTACGTGTTAAAGAAAAAAATCCTCTGGGTTACCCTATGAGCACGATGGCGCCTGTTAGTTTTAAGAAGCCAGTTGCCGTACGCTGCGCCTATGCGGTAGTGTAATCGGGGGGGGGGGGGGGGGGGGTCCTGAGAGTGCCCCTCTACGTCCCTGACACATGGGTGGTCACCGAAGTGTGTTCTACCTCAATATTTCGGTGAGTGATTAATGTACACTCAAGGTTTTCATGCGGTAGTGTAGGAAAACCCGTGTCCCGATAATTATTATCCAAGCGCAGGCATTGTTTACATTTAAATAACACGGTTTTAGAAAAAAAGGTCACGCGTCTAAGAACATATGATTGGTAATGCATTGGTGATATCCTTCTAATATATTTCGTCAGACTTTCTTCTACCCCCGCGGCAACGCGCGGGGGACGGGTACGCTAGTTAATTATAAAGAACACACACTAAAATAATGCAATTATCTTTTTACAGCATATTATATTAGTCTATTATGGTATTTGCGTTAGCAACATAATATTATAACGTTTTTTTGTTTCTTATTTATCCTAGATATATTTCAAGGTATCAGTTGTGTAATAAAATAGTTGGCGATGTATAATTCTATAAAAGGGCGGAGTTCAGTGTTGTCTTCTACTTGACCGAACGGACCGTGAGCAAAGATTAACAGTTCCACTGGTTGTAGGTGACAGTAAATACATTGGCTACTGGTCATCACATTCATTGTAATCTGGTGTGTTCGATTCTTAAAGTAAGCCAACGAATCCGTTTTAACAAATGTCTTTTTACTTCCTGATTTCTACTATAAATACCCAACTGACAAGAGAGAAAGATAAACTATACAGACCCACCATATCAAGTAGAACTATAGTACGGATTTACCCTTATGTGTCCACCATTTGATAAAACTTCATAAATTATGTTTTGTTCAGTGACTTCCGGTTGAATCACGTGTGTCAACAATGTATCGAGACACCTGAGTTCAAACGTACACATCTAGGGTTGTGTTATTTGCATGGCGTTTTGCACTATATAGCATTGTGTGTACTTCCTTAAGAATTTAGACATAATTGTTATGTTTCAAACACATACATTGTTCTAGTAAATCTACGTAATGGAACAACATATATTGTATTTTTTTATCTTCTCCATCAGCGTGATTTCAGTGACTACAGGTAAGCTACGTACATTTCTGTTAACTAACATCAATAATAAAAAAAATGGGTATTGTGAGTCTTTTACTTAAACTTATTCTTCCTCTATATATAATCTCTTCGCTGAATATATTGAAATAGTTTATTAAAATACATTT